TATATATATATATATATATATATATATATATATATATATATATATATATATATATATATATATATATTCGTGAAATAAAGATAAAGCCCTGAACGTCAAATCAATTTATTAAAGCATAGAGAGAGCACACATAAGATAGAATAACTAAAGCTTTGCACAAGTGCTGTATGAAGAAGCCCCCACCCTAATACACACGGGTCTAAAATGCTTTACAATAAAGTGTCCTCGGTACGCACACCGAGGCCTTTCTTCTCAAGTGCTAGGCAAACATCCTACCCCTGCCTGAGGTGTCTGTTCGATAGGTACATTCAGCAAACACACCCACCCACACCCCGTTTTAACACAACTTAAAGAAAAAAAATTAACAAATTGAAAAAACATGACCATCCATTATCTCTCTAAACACTTAGACCGGTGTGCCTAGTAACACTTCAATTATAAAGTTAAATATTTAAACTTTTAAAAAAATCAAATCTAAAAATATTTTTTCAAGCAAGGTAAGACAACTCTAAATTTTCAGTTGTAGCCCCTTTCTTCCGCGAAATGTTTACCTGATCACAGGCCAGATGTCGGCGACTGCAGGGCAGGGGGGGGGAGGAGGAGGAGAAAGACCGTTAAATAACTTTTCGTCCCAATTTAATCTGATCGTTTCTTCACAACAAAGACACCCATAGAACAGCCTCGACCCAAAAAAAAATTATTTCTGGCATCGTTTTATCAAAATATTTCACCCCCACAACCCACTGACAGAACGATGCCGAATGTCAACAGAGAAATTGTCTTTGTTGTTGTTAGTAATCACACTGACGCCTTAAAAACTGCTTGCATTGTTATTTCATGCAGCTTTAAATAGCGCCACCACTCAGATACAGTGGCCATAAAAGTCGTCACTGGCTCTTCACTATCGAAAGGAAGTGTTAGTAGTCTTGCTAATACACATTGTTAAAACATTTTTTACTAGCGATAGCTGGGTGGTAGGGGGGGGGGGGGGGGTAGGGAGAGGGGGCTTGTAAGACTAGGGATGCAGCAGTGTGTTCAAGAGTTAAACACACATTCCTTACCTTGCCCTGGGCGGGGAATGCGAAAAACTACCCAGGGAACGCCCCTATTAAATCCAAAGTAAACTTACAGGACATAACGAGATGGATTCATTAAAATTAATTAACAAGAATTTGACGAGACGTAGACGTCTGAAGCCCGGGGAGAAACGGTGCACAGTTGTACACGGGGTTCAACGTCAGGGCCCGCACGCCATTTGTAGGAAACACCTGCTCGTTCGGCTAGTTCAGCGGTCGGAATCTTACGGGTTTTTTAGGGGAGTGGGAGGGGGGAGGGAGCGAGAGAGAGGGGAGAGGAGGAAGAGGGATTTTCTACATTCATAATTTTACTTATTTATAACAGACGGACAGCATAATGAAACTAGAGAGGAAATAGTTTTGATTAAGAATAATACTAGCTTAAGTTTACTCTAGCTTGAGCACAATGTTGAGATATGTTTAGCATTTTTTTAAATAACAAGAATAGTCACGATAATAAAAGGTCAACGACCTCTGAGCTTGAAATTTCTTTAATTATACAATCCGGAATAACAAGCGAAATAAATAATCGTATTCTGTAAATATCCAACAAGAGCTGTCTAAAGTTTAACTAAAGATGCAGATAATCTGGCCAAATGACATACTGACTTGCCAAAAAAAAAAAAGCTGATCTAAACAAAATTGTCAGCATCATTCAGCTTGTAAAAGTGCCACATGATAAGGAGAGTGAAACAAACGAACCACTTGTTGGCTGGAAACAATTTATAACAATGATAAGACAACAATGAGGCTTGTAATGGAAATCACAGTTATAGCTATGTACTTGCATAATGAGGTATATCTGGGCTCAAGCTTAGCCCATGGGAAAATATGGAGTAGATCCACATTGAATATTAAATTAAAACATAGTTTTAAAAAAACGTTCTCTTTAATGTTTTCAAGTAGTTAATTTTGAAAAATTGCAGTTTAAAAGTGTCAAGCTCAGAAAAAATACCAACAAGGAAATTATTTTAGCTATATCTTAAAAGTCAATGATTAATTTAGCCCCTGTAAACCTGCATCCATACTAAACCCATTAGTGAATTTAATTCATAGCTAGGCAAACCTATTAAAAGTTAACTACATATTCTATTCACATATTGATAATGTACAATAGGTATTGGAAATATAAAAAAGAAGAATGAAGGGGATTGCTTAACATTAAATAAAGATTGGTGATGTTTAAAGAATTAAGGAATAAAATTATAATGAACTAAAGAGATGAGGATGTGTCTAAATTATACAATGGTTGTTAAAATATAAATAATGAGTTATAAACTCAAAAGATAAAATAATCAAGCTTAAATCAGCTAATTAGCTTTTATAACCAAGCTGCAAAAAGTTTATGTATACATGCAGACATGAACTCTAGCCTAGGCAGCCTGAAATAATAAAAGAATGCTTGTTTTATCACAGACGTCAAATAAAAAGGGTTTTGTTCTCCCTAAATTGCTGTAGCTATCTCCCTTACATTCACATTCCATGGGGGTTCATTGATCTCCCTTTAAAAAGCTGCATAACTCTGCTGATAACTACTACAAATATTATTTTAGAATTAAATTTATTTTTAAAATTTCTATCAAATCCTATCACCTTTGTTTTGATCTAATCAGTGAAAATTTTTTTTTTTTCAAATGTTGGACTAATTGGGTGACAAAAGATATATTCCTGATTGTACTATTTTCATGTAATAGTTCAAAATATTAACAGTTGAGGTTTGACATAATTTTCATAATAGGAAAATGACATTTATTGCTTCATCACTAAATCAATACCCAACACCATCAGGGCATTAAAAATGTCATTAAACCTGTAATTTATAGTCTTATACGTAAACACCATTATATTTTATGACACTCAAAATAAATTGCTATTAGTTACTGAGTAGCCTATATATTACATGACAATCATTTGAAAAAAAAATAATCATGCATTGCTCAAATTGCTGTAAAAATTATTTGGTAATAGATATAGAAAATGAACAGACTTTTTAAAAAATCCTTTTAGCTACTATGAGTAATGGAAATCACATTTAGTTATTGAAAAATATATCCAGAAATTCACTGAATATTTGAATTGAGCTTAACTTGTTTTATATATACATGTTCAATGTGTAAAATATTTTTTCACGCTGTTTTGAAAAGTATGTTATTGTGAAAACACAAATATGCACCTTTTCTAGTGTGTATTTTATTATTACACCAAAATAAATAAAGTGAACAATTCTTGCAAGAATGTTCATTAATTAATTAAATAAATATAATTCTGTTTAACAGATGCCATAAGTGATTGAAATATGCAAGTAACTTTTTAAATGAATAATTCTGGGAACTGCTGAAATGTTAACATAAACAAAATTGGGGACATAAAAAAAAATTATATATATATATATATATATATATATATATATATATAATATGCATATAAGACGGGCCAGTAATCTATATATCTCTTAGTATTCATGAGCCTCAATGTTTATTTTAAGGTAAGTGATTGTCAAATGTGATGAAATAATGTAAATTAGAATACTCAAAATATAATAAACCATGTCAGTTACTGAAATAGTCATATCACATCACATAATTGCTAGATCCCAATTCTAACAATTAATGAGTGCCACTCTTATTCTAAACATTAAGATACCATTACTGTCAAATTCTTCTACTGACATACATCATCAGTTTTATGAATAATAACAGTAACAATGATTCAGCAGAAAAAACTACATTTGAATGCATAGTATTATCCAGATATTCCTGATTTAACCACATGATATAACCAATGTGAGGCTAAAAGTTTGTGCTATTTTTAGTAGCTAATCCTAAGATAGACCAGGGTTAGAATTTGAATCAGGATAAGAACTAATCAAAGCTTAAACTTTGCATAGTTTATTATTGAAAATGTGACGGTGATTCCAAATAGTCTAGTAATTTATTAAATTTTTAAAATCACAGATTTAACTATTTTAACAGGTCGACACCTCCTATGTAGGCTTCATAGGCTTAAATATATTTTAGGCCTAGTAGGATGCATTACTTGGTAGCATGAAAATTCTGGCCTAAGTACTTAAGGGTCAAATTAAATTAGCCTATAATAACTATTTTAGAATTGTACCCTAGTCATACAGATCTAGATCTAGATCTAGGCTATTAAGTTAGATAGTGGGCTTTTTAAAATCAAAGCCAGAAAATTAAGCCTCTTTTTAACTACAAACCTATATAAAAAGATTATATAAAAGAATAATGAGCAATATGTTACAATAGGCCTACTGTAGTTAATACTTACTAATAATAGGCCTAACTAATAAGTTTTTTAATAAATAGGCATAGATTCTGCATTTATTAATTTGGCCTATTGCCCATTAGGCCGAGATTATATTTTTTATTTTTTGACCAAACTAGAAAGCAGGTTTGTGGTTTTCAACTGGTTCAGACTTCAGACTAAATATTAGTTTGATCTAGAATCTAGTAGGCTAAATAATTAAGTTAGGCCTACATGGCCTACATCTAACTTCTAGAATTTAGACTCAATAATTATTTAATAATATTTAAGAATAAAAAAAATTGGTGTAGGCCTAAGACAATTTTAAGTTTTAGTGATAGATCTAGATTAGATCTAGATTTTCTAGATCTAGATCTAGAATTCTAGATTCTAGATCTAGATTTTAGATTTTCTAGATTTCCCCTGCCCTCGAGATATCTTGATGATATTCTAGCCTAAATCTTGATTAGATTATTTAGGACTAGATCTAGATCTAGTTAGATCTAGATCTAGATTTCTAGATCTAGATTTAGCCTGGACAAGACTAGATTTAAATTTTAGTAAACAATCGAAGTGATCTTAAGACTAAAGACTTAGTGAAGTGTCACTAAGTTTGGTCTTAGATTTTCGGTCTCATTTTAAATCATAAATGTGTGTACCTACCCGATATTGCTGTTAAAGAAACATCATTCTCGTTGAAACCTTTGTCGGAAGAGTAAGCTTTTTTAACTTCTATACATGCTGTGTTTAATGTTTGGCCCGTAGTAACAGAGACCATGAGGAATATGAATAGTACACACGAATACAAGCATTGTGCTGCCGAGATCTTAATATTTGTGTCGGCCATTTTCTCTGCTGCAAAGAATAAACCCGCAAATAAATCCTCGCTGTGGAACTTAATCCTCTGTGCAGAACTATATCACAGAAATAAAGGAAACGAAACGATTATGCTTCACACTTTCGTAACACAACATTGCAACACATTGGTATTCTTATCTCCAAAACATTTTCACTTGATCACAGAACAGGCCTAACCAGCATCGTATGAATCTACTACCACAATGAAAATATTCTAAACGACTCCACCAGCCCTCGCCAGCCTACTGTAACAAATGTTTGGCAGAGTGAGAGAGCGAGCGAGCGACAGACTAAAATCCAGGCTGTTCTAATTTCCTCCCCGGACCAATAAAATGGCTTATTCAAGCAAATGATTAAATTATTACACCACTTTCGCTGTAAAAACGGAATTGCACGAAATTCCTTTCTTTATGCCAGATATAATGAACAGCGTTTTGAAATGTTACATAATTAAATGAAACGTGTTTAATTTTAACAGGAATAATTTGTTTTCGGAATGGAATGCTTCCGAGGGGGGTAATTTCATTGGCGACATTTTTTTCTATGTTGAGAATCCCCAATGTCTTTAAAAGCAGCTATTGGTGGATTATTTTTGGACTATTTGAAGTACCATTCATGACACCAGAGAAAGCATCTCAAAGAAGGTAAAACTAAAGAGGGAGGTGGGGGCGGTATGGTTTTAAGGGACAGAGAGTAAGGTAAAAATATCCATAAACCAGCATTATTTGGATACTATTTCAAAGCACTCGATTACTCTAGAACTTTATAGGCATATCTTGATGTGAGTATAAAGACCTACTGAATGCCTACTCAGATTAAATCTCTTGATAAAAATATATGTATCTATAATGCAACTAAAATGTATGTGGGGGACTAGTGTAAGAGAATATATTTTCTATTTAATTTTTTTTCTATTTCGTTGGGGGGGAAGGGGCACTGCCCCACCCGGAGAGATGCCTGAAAGAAACTCTGTAAAACAGATCACTCAATTTATTGTGTATTGTCCAAAGCAATAAATCTGCTGTTTTGTTTACATACTTTTTTTAAGGACCGATGCTTATATTAGATTATAGCACAGAATAAAAACGAATCTAGGTCTATTATTAACGTGAGCCTTTGTATAAAATAGGAAATGCGATCATTTATCTGAATGCGGGTGCTAATTAATATAGGCTTACGCCATAAATGCATTCGTTTAGCTGGAATGTTGATAATAAGTGTAGGCTACTGTGATCCTAAGGGGTTAGAGCTAGTCCTAGACTTTAAACATGGTTGTTTCATTTTAGTTTAGCAAGTTAAGATTTGGGCTTGTGATTGGAATGTTATTTTTAGTTGAAATCCGATAACGTATTATTATATAACTATGAGGGTATGGGTAATCTGTATAAAGTTCCCGGTCTGACCTAGCGACCCACGGGACAGGTGAAGTAGAGTCTACCTGTTTCTGTGACCTCGGCATATGAAGATATAGTGTGGTCAGCACTATGCCCAGCCGCTTTTACTTTCCATAATGTTTTGGGTGACGTGCTAGGACTCTAGCCAGGGACCCGAACTTGAAATTTTCGGGTTCGCCAGGGACCCGAACTTGAAATTTTTGGGTTCGAAGTCGAATGCTCTACCATTTAACCGCACAGTCCCATATCAATACGTATACTTCATTTTTAAATGTTTAAGGAAAACATTTTTTTTTCTTATCTAGCTTAGCTACAGAAGATTTAACATCAATACCTGAACAAAATATAATTAGTGGTCGATAACTCATGAATTACAAAATGAACATTGGGTTGTGTGGTTATCTTTCTTAGAATTCGTTTTTTAATAGTAAAAGTAATGTACTCAAAGAATTAGAAATATAGTATAATCATTAAAGGATATAAATATAAATGGAAATTTAGTTCAGAAAAATAATACGTGTTCTACTACATGTTGGATATAATAAACAAAAAAAATTACTAAAATTACTACTTGCTGAATAGTGTAAGCCTAAGTGCACAGATAGCATACATCCAACAAGAGATGTTTAAAAACATTCAATAAAACCTTGAAAGATTTAGATAGTGTGGAAAAAAGGGAGAAAGGTTGAAAGTATATCAAATTTAAAGTGGCTTTTGCTTTGCTAGTCATTAATTGGAATGGAAAAAATAGACGGAGAACAATATTTATTTTGTAAATAACAGGCTTCTCGTGAGCTTAAAACTTAGCGAGCTTTTCTTAATCACGTGGTCGCATATCTCTTTATAACAAAAAAAAAACCTTCCCAGCCGTCCCACCCCATGTATCACATATCCTTTGGTGTAACCCAACGCTGGACCGCTCCTCCCCGGGATAAGATTTATCCCTGGCTGTGAATTTCAGTATCTCCTCCACCGTCTTCGCAAGTGGGTCAAACGTCACGTCGTATTAGCCGCCGTTACTTAGCCCAAGAATGTTATTTATAGAGATATGCCATCAAAACGAGGGTAAATACATTTTTTTTTTACTGCTGGCATGGGCGCACTTCAGTGGCGAAGCTACACGTCTTAAAGCCTGAGGTGGGCTCGCGTGTGTGCGTGCGTGCGTGTGTGTGTGAGTGAGAGTGTGTGTGAGTGTGTGTGTGTTGTGAAGGCACCTCTATTGTGCACATACTGTGTTTGTGTGCATTGCGAACGGTGACTGCAATACATACGTAGAATGTAGCCCGTGAGGCAAGATAGAAAACCCAAAAAAACTTCAAACAGGAAACTCGAAAAGGGAATCCTACACAGAAATGCCTACTTTCTTTCAAGTATCTCTTCGGGGGGGGGGGGGGGCTATTCCGTCCACCACCTCCCCACCCCTCTTTCAACGAAATAGAGAAAATATATATAATTTATTTAGAAAATATATACTTTAAGCAGTCCCCTACCCTCCCCCCCCCCTCAGAAATCTGAAAGAAACACTAATCCCAAAACTAGCGAATCTACAAACTATGACCTCACTGATAATTAGCAACAAGCTTTCGATAAGTATGTACAAGTATAACATTGTGTACCAACATAATAAAAAAAAACAAGTAAGATCAATTGGGAAACATTGTAGTGTAGTGGTTATCAAACTGTGAGGAGGGGCTCATTTGGGAGCTCAAGCCCAGTATGATAGGAGACGTTGAATTCTTTTAAAGAAACGAACAATATAAAAATATCAATGTTTCTCCCACACTTTTTTCTTCGAATGGGGGGGGCGGACACTGGTTAAAGTATGTTTTCTACATAAATTCCATTTCGTTGGGGGGGGGGGGAGGCAGTAGACTTTAAGGCGATTGCTTCATATTAAAATCATAAATGGAGCAAATTATTTCTGAATACTAAATCTGAAATATGCTACATTAATGTAGAATGTTCTCATAAATTTGCTCCTTTCGAAGGTTCGATCCCCGGAAATTTTGACCCGTAGTAGGTGAATAAGTTCCGCGGTCGAACAATTCGTGGGTTGAAAATCAAGCAGTCGAGACTGGTAGTGAAGATTTGCTTGCAAACTGTGCGAGTAGAGTGATGATATCCAAGGTTTCTTTGTGACATTTTTTTCCTTCAGGGGGATGGGGGACACTTGAGAATTAAGGGGAGGGGAGGGGGGGGGAAGACATTGGTTAAAGTATATATTTTTTACATATAAATTATATATATATATATTTTCTATTTCTCCCGTGAGTGTGTGTAAATTTGTTGTTTGTTTTGGTAATTCTTGGCATGATGGGAAACGGTTCGGAAACCGCTTCCGTAATGTGAACAGAGTTTCTTCCAGGCATCTCTTGGGGGTGCTATGCCCCCCCCCCCCCCCCCGAACGAAATGGAATTTATATAGGAAATATATAATTTTGAGTGTCCGCACCCCCGAAAATTTCAACTGCACCCCCGGACAAAAAAAGGCTGGAAGAAACACTGAATTTGAAAGACACACAAATATATACACTGTTTACATTGGGAACCAGCCCTCATCTAATTAAACATTCAGTGGTAATCTGACACGATAGATCGCCCTAATCCCCCCCCCCCCCCAGCAGTTTCTCGTTGTTGTAGTGGTCAGTGAATAGCCGGACATGTCTGAAACTCAAGTAGCACTCAAAAGCTGCCAGGGGCTAATTTATCCCCCCCCCCCCCTCACCCAACCCCATCCACCCTTACTTGTTTAGATGTCACCATTATTGTTATCAACGAAAGTTTATCTGAAAGTGCTCTAATTGTGTCAAATGTGATTGCTAATGCTGGCGAAAAAAGGCCATCCATGTTCCGATAACTCAAAACAATTCGTTGACATCCCTTGAATAGAATGATCAGCAAACATGTTTACCTTACTTACGGGTGAAGTGGGGCGAAACGTCACTGGTTTGTGTGTACTAGTTCATTAAACATGACCTCTTTATTAACACAATTCCACCCCACCCCCAAATTACTTTGTTTACATTGTTTTTGAGTATTTTCTCCTTTGGAAAGTACACCATTTAAAACGTCAGTTCAGACTACTTTTTATTTCTTTTTATTTCTAGCCACCATAGTTTGTATGATTTAAAATTCTAAAATTAGACACCTCATTATCAATTTAATCTGTTCTTAAAAATTATATTTATCATGTGATTAATGAGTGCCGGTGGGTACTGATCAAGTTTTTAGCGGTAGCCCACTAGGATCAACGCAGTAAAATGGTTGACACAAAATAATTATTCGATAAGCCGCAATACCCACCCGAGACGTACGCCCCTGCTTAAATAAAACTTTTTGGCGTCAACTAGTCATTTCTAAATATTTCACCCCTTTTCACTTATTCTCACCTTTTCGACACCCCTTGAGCGTCGGTGAAACATAATTGGTTGCGTGTTGGCCTAATTGAACCTTTTCAAACACAGGAACGTGTTGACGGGCCACCTGGCGAGGGCCGGCCACAGACTGGCCCCCGGCCACACGAACACGTCTGGACAAAGCGTCTGGATATCAAGCCTATTGTCACTCGACGGTTGGACACTAGGGTGGGGGAGGGGGAGTGGGGAATTCCTGAGATTTCGTGCCTCTTTGTTGACGGTCAAATATTTTCGATTAACCGGGGTCAATTTTTTTTCTATGAATAGATGTGAGGCAATGCGATTTAAGGGGTTTTCCCGATATTAACAGTAGCCGGACTAATCAAGTTTTTTCAGCAGCAATTGCAATTATTCTTTAAATAGTGGCATAGAGCCAGATAATGGGGCGGTCTGTTAAATAACAATTATGTAGATAGGGATACCAAAAGGGGTAGAAAATATTTTTGAAAAACTAGTTTTGTTTTGCTTTACTAAGCTAAATATACTCTGAAGGAAGCTATGGATACGTGGCTTTACAACTGATATAACCCCACGTCACATCGATAGCATAGCAACCAGTGTTTTTTTTTCAGACTTTTTCTCCGGGGGGAGGGGGGGGGGATCACTGGTAAAAGCATATATTTTCTATATAAATTCCATATCGTTTTGGGGGCGGTAGACTTTTTTCGGGGGAGCAGCCCTTAAGTACGTCTAACCCTTCCCCCCCCCCCCCCCCCCCCCACCGAACGAAATAGAATTTCTATAGAAAATGTTTTTACCAGTGTCCACCCACCCCAATTTCACGTGCCACCTACCCCCTCCCCCGGAGAAAAAAGTCTGAAAGAAACACTGGTACCAAAGCAGCCTACCATCTGTAGGCTACCTGAAAATTTTAGAGATGGGTGGGGGGGGGGGTAGGTTTGGGGCTATGGCAAACAGGGACACCGTGTTAAAAGGTGATTTTAAACTAAACAGGTCCCGTTGTTGGATATTCTTATAATTTGTATTTTTTAAAGAAGTGTCTCTTGTATGCTGCCTATTTCTTCCCCTGTGAGCTTGCCATCTTTGGGTAATGTGAAGGACTTAGAGAGGAACCCTCAGGGCAAACGACGCCCCAAGAAAACGTGTGCGATACAGTAACTGTTCTGGACGAGGATGAAGAAAACAGGCTTAGGAAAAAATGAATGAAAGACTAGCATGAGACCGTGGGTGGTGTCCGGTGGAGTAGAGCAGAGGCTTAGCGAGGGGTGCGGACCGCACCGGGTGACACCATTTAGGGGGGGGGGTGACACCAAGGCAAAAAATAGCAAAATATATATAGAAAATCTTGAGGGGGTGCAAATCGAAAGTTCGTCGGGGGGGGGGTGCAAATCGAAAATTTAAAAGTTTGTCCCCGGGAAGGGTCGCTACGCCTCTGGGGGGGGGGGGGGGGGGGGGAGGGGGGGTGACACCATTAAGTGCCGCACCGGGTGAAACCCGACCTCGCTACGCCACTGGAGGAGAGCATTGTCAGAAGTCGTTTGTCACGCAAGGAGGTCAAAGAAAAGGTGATGAAGTTTATTATTGTTTATATTTTTTAAAACTTGTTTTAGTCAGTAGAATACCCAACTATTGTGTCTGGTGTCTGAGACTGTATAAAACACGTTTATATTTTAATTTTAAAAAAACTTGTTTTAGTAGACTACCCAACTATTGTGTCTCGTGTATGGAGACCTGGTATATAACACCGTTTATATTTTTATAACAACTTGTTTTAGTAGACTACCCAACTACTGTGTATGAGACCTGGTATAAAACACCAACAGGCACAAGTTTCCTGCCACCAGGTAGGCCTACACTTCCTTACAACTTTCTTTATTTTACAAGTTGACTTAATTTTATTTATCCTCTCCTATTCAAACTAGTTGAAATCAAATTTTTGTGTGGCATAACATGAGAAATATTTGTTAAAAAGTTAAATAAGAATGTAAGATAATTGAAGATAATTTATTAAAAATGTCATACAAATCAATACAAATGCTGAAACATACATTCCAACAGTACTCTTCTAAATATACTGGCACCAATTCAACCTGTTCTTATCCTTATCATTTTGCTTAAGACTTGAAAAATGTGAAGAAAAAAATAGTTATTTTAACAATAATATGACAAGACATTGTTTAAGACAACATATTTTTTTGTTAATGTAAATACGTAAGTATATAAATGTAAGTGCATCTTTGTGTATTTATCACACTGAATGTGAGTTTACATGTAACAATAGGAAACTAGATTTAAATGTATGTATACATATGCCTGTTTATGGGCTTGTATATAAAAACGTTTTAATGTAAATCTGTCTACTTGTCTATGTACCTAGTATGAATCTAGTTGTGGGTGTTTGGTGTTTTTCTACATGAAGACAAAACAGGATAAAGACAAGCCTTGATAATTATAACATACAGAAACACTGAAGTATTAATATTATCAAAGTAAACCTAGCTAGCAGCAACATCTGCACCACCAATCTATTGTTTTATAAAAAGGCTTTTTGTCCCTTTAATTTTTGTAATTAACAACCTTTTATTTCCAAAAAACACACATTTTTGCTAGAATAAACTCATCTGTTTTGTAGTTCACCAGACAAACTACAGAAAGACAAAAATGGTTGTGCTTTACTTGAAGATATATAAAAATACAATGCTTCATTGTTTTAATACATTATAATTACAAGGTCAAGTGATAAAAATACATGTACGTTTATTTAAAATGTAACTGTATTTATGAGTGAGTGAAAATGTATTTCTGTAGGGTGTAATTCTGTATAAATGGGTATTGAACTTTAAATGTATGTGCGAATAGAATATAATGTACATAAATGTATGTATGAGTGTAATATAATGAACATGTATTTAAGTATATGTGTGAGTGTAATCTAATGAACATGTATTTAGTGTATGTGTGAGTGTATTATAATGTATATGTATTTAGTGTATGTGTGTGATATAATGTACATGTATTTAGTGTAACTTGGAAGGACAGGCGGAAGACGATCAGTTCTTTTTCAATTATTTTTAAAAACATTTGAGACTGGTACATATAGAAAAAATCTAACTACTACTGTATACATGGTAGGTTCAGTAGAATAACCAATCAAAATATTCAACATAGGCTTCTGTAGAACAATCAATCAAAATATAGATAACATAGGCTACAGTAGAAATACCAATCAAAATAGAGTTAACATCTCACACAATAATTGGCTATGAAAAAATAAAATTATTTTTAATCAAGAATGCGAGTTTGATGAGTGACTTAAAATTGATGCGAAGACATGATCAACAGGCTTTTATTATGACAGAATTTGATGTTTAGATTGTGAAAAAATATATTTAGTGTATTACTCAACCACTATGAGCACAGGATTATGTAATAAGTACAAGTTGTGTATATAAAGAAAATGACCAACTTAACGAATAACACAGCTTAAACACTGGACATCCATCTGTATGTTGTACATTAGTAATCTGACTAGGACTGTGTGTAATACTTGTGCCAAGTGAAGAAATTCACTTTAATTTAACAACTTGCTGTTTACTTGCAGAAAAATATTTCATTGTTTTGATAAATTTAATTGTTTCTTTTGCTAAATCAAGGAAGGTAGCTTTTTGCACAGTTGGAAAAAAAAAAATTGTGATTTTCTTTCATATTGAGAGAAAGGGTTGCTGTTGTTAAAAAAATCTGTCCACTTAGTACACATCATTTCTGATTAAATTATCAGCTAACTAATTGAATAACTATTTTAAAAAAGAACACACATGATTAAATATTATGGAGACTACAATAGACAACACTAGTCTAATTCAAGCCACTTTTCAGTCAATTATTAAATAACCAATTTCAAATCATTTTTATTCATGTTTGTTTCAAAAGAAATAAGCACTAATAATATAACAATCTATCCAAAACAGTAGTCCACGCAGTATGAAACAGTATATACAGACAAGAAAAAAAGCATCCATTTTTAACAGACCACAGATAATGGTTCTACCAATGGATTTTTTAAAAACCTGCTTGAATTGGTTCCCATGCATTCACTCACTCAAATACATAAATACATGTACCCACAGCAAAGTGTCACATCCACACGTCAACTAAACATGTATGTACAACATATTCTCACAGCACAGGGGTCCATTCACACGGCAACTAAAAGACGTATGTACACAAACTTGACATATTCTATGTTACAACATATTTTTTTAAAACCAATATAATCAACAGGATCTTCTCTTTACATTGTAGTCATCTTAAAAAAATAATTATGCTGAGTTGTCTTGGCCACACATAGCCCCTCCATCCCTGGCTACCCTTCCCTTCAAATGGCATCACCAAATGCTAAAAACACAAGCCTGAGATTTTAACACTAGATACTATTTTTCAAAATGATCTTTTTCAAAATTAATCATTGCCAAATATATAAACACATTTTTTTAATAATCAGAATATATCATGGTACTTTATGGTGGAAGTTCAAGGTATTTATTAATTAGGCATTAACATCTAATGTTCAATACATAATGGACAGAATACGGGCAAACAAAGGATCTCCTCTCATAGATACGTTATGTTAAGACAGGAAAGGGGTGACAAATGTAAACTCTCTGAGACCTAGGCTCCTGTTTGAATCTATAAAAGTCTTTTAATTTTAACATCTCTTATTCTAAAAAATACTTTGTCATTAAACAAAAACAATTATAAAGTCATATCTCAACAAAGTTTGTTTTAAGAAAACAGTAAAGATCTACATAAGAAAATGCTGAAATGGTAACTAAAGATAATAGAAAATTAAGTATAAAAAAAACTAAATAAAAAAAAAATCATGACACTTGTAAATGTAAAACTGAAAAAGTATCTTATCTAAAATCACAGGATAAACCCAAAGGTAATTTGGACAAAAGCAGGACAAGCCATATATTTCTTGAAATTATTACTGAAGTTATAAAATCTACTAGCACAAGAATTACCATAGATTAAAATAAACACCACAAACATCCCCAACATAGTGAACCCGGTGTTTTAAGTTTGTTTAAAAAGTTAAATCAATAATTTGATTAAAATTCTTTTTGTTGGAAGATTTATTACTTTATTTTATATTAATAAAATTCATTTTATAACCAACTTGTTTAAATCTACAATCATGGAATATGACATATTTAGAGATTCATAAGAGCGACAGAGAGTAAGGAACTAAGATGAATGCCTAACAGGGGAGAAGCCACAATCCAAAGAAAACCCCACTGTAAAACAAAGAGAATAGATGAAACAGGGTTGAATCACAATCCTAACAACAAGCTCACTACAGCGTATGCTCTAGTTATACCACTGTGCTCCTCTTGCTGTTTATCACTGGTTTTGCATATTCTACAAAGTCATCTATTAAAACTGGCCAAGCTCCTGAAAAATTACAAGCAAAAAAGAATCAGTTTAAACAAATTAGATAAATCAAACATTTCTAGATAAACTTTATTATACGGTTTTAAAAACTATCACATCAGAGCAAGAATAGCACTAGAATAACATATTTTATTCCAATAAAGCAGAGCACCACCTTTACATTCTTAACTACGTGTGAACTAAATCGACACGGCAGGTTTCATGCACCTACGCTAAAGAGAAAGTTCAGGAGTTTTTAAGGGTAAACTTATGTTTATGACAGTTTTAAAGGATTCTCATTCGGTTATGGCCAAAAAATTAACAAAAACTTGATCTGACTATAATAAGTACAAGTTTTAAAATTGGGAGGGGCTGATTTTTAAAGTTATTCCTAGAATTCAAACACTCAAAAATAACAGTGGTAGTAGACGTGGTTGTTAATAGAATTATAAAACAGTGTTTAACTGACATTATTTGTAAATCTGAATTACTTTCAATAGATACCAGTACAGTTATCTTTACTGTAGTATAATCAAGATAAATAGCCCCTAGAACTTTTTACCCAATTTTAAAAAGAAGTAGAAATGTCCAGGTGCAACCTGGCTGTTTAGGAACTCTATGCTGGTCCAGTGGTTCATACACTTCATTGCTATAGATATTGTAACAGTTGTGACAGGCTCAAAGACAGTTTTGAAATTTCAGGTTTCTAGGAAATCCTAGAATTCCAGAAAGGACCACAACCCTGACTAGTGTATATTCTGACCTATCTCAATTTCTTTAAAAATGTTATAAACAAATATAATTAAGTTTTACAAAAAAAAAGGAAAATTGATGATACCTTCTTCATCGTAATTACTCATATCATCATTAATCATATTACAAAAATCAAGAAGTAGATTCCATGTATCTTTGGGGATAGACCGTTTATGATTTTCCTGCGAATAAATTAATAAACAATTTTTTAGTATTTAAGAAGGAAAACAAAAAGAAAAATACTTTCTTTTTATGTACTATATTCTGATTTACAATTCTATTTTCAAAAGAAGTAAAAAGATTAAATGGAGATAATAATAACTAGGAAAAATGTAATTAGAATATCACAGGTTTATATTTGTGCTGTAAACATACCTGTAGAAATTTGCACCACAAGTCTAGAAATTTGAATTTCCCAGTGAGGACTATATTCCAGTATGCTATCGCCATATCCTGATCTGTTGTGGTGAAACAAAAAAATTACTGATAGAATGTTCAAACATTATTCCAGGTTTTATAAATGTAATTAATAAATCTATTGTTAAACAATTACACCGTTGTGTAAAAAAAATTGACGGCTAAACCATCTATATATATAATTCTCTTCATGGGGACCATAGAAGACACCATGCAGCTTAGCCACCACCCTCATCCCCCACCTGTCAGGTGAGCTGTGGTTCACCCCGAAAGTTTACAATAGTAGAGCCGGGTCAGCTATTAGGGGTAGGGGCAGATAATCTAGATTTAAACAGGGGAGGTAATAACAATTTCTGCCATAACTATTCATTGTCGTCTGTAAACTGTCGTCGCAGACTGCTGCTTTCGCAGAGTTTGCGGGAGAGAGTGTGAGGATAATCGTCTTTACCAGCTACTGATAGTGTTTTAAAGCAAAATATGTTCAGTCGCAGCATTAGTAGTGAATTATTAATTACTGAAAAGTTGAAAATAAAACAACTAAACAGCGGCATATGCTTACGGCGTGGGTCAGCTCGTGGGCTTATAATGAGCAACACAGAAGAATTTTTTTTTTAAATTGAGAAGTTTTTATCACAATAATATACCATAAGAAAGATGTTCTAACAAATTTGGAATTTATTGATTTGTACCTTTTTAATTGTCCTGCTATTAGTGCTATTGTAGATACTAGGATTAGGGTTCAGATACTAGCAAATAATCAGGTTCAATATTATTTGTTCTACTTAATTATAAAATAAAAATCACCTTGCTAATGTATCATCATAAGAATTCTTTTTGTAAAAAAAAAGTGGAGACAAAATATAAAAAGCTAAAAATCACCTAGTCCTTTTTGCTCAGGATTCTTGGCATAATTGAAAGTGAATTGGTAAAAATCTTTGAAACTGTTTGAATCTCTTATCTCTTGCTCTAAAGTGTTGCATTTCGCTCGGAGTTTATCTACAGAATCGGAACTGTGAAACAAAAAAAATAAAACATTTTAAATTAAATAATGATTAAACAATACAATTCAAACGGGACATTTTGCTAGAGATTTGTCATTGACTCAAAATAAACTCTACTAGCGGTGTTATACAATGGTTCACTATACTGAAAATGTCTCCTGCACGTAATAGAAATTAGCTCACAGAGTCTCAAATACAAACCTGAGTTCTACCATGCCAGTGATGAATTCCTCTTTGGAAAATTCACACTGAGTCTTTGCTTTAAACTTCCATGCAAGTATGAGAACTGTTCTTGATTCAGGAGCCAGTTGGAGATCTTCTAAAAACCTCATCACTCCATCAACAGTCATTTTCTCTTCATCACCAGGATCTACAACAGAGGGAAAAAATCTAAACATAACTCAACATTGATTTCTACCATAATTAAGTTACTTTATTTATAACTTTGATTTGATTATAACTACATATCAACTTGTCCTGTTGTTAATTAAACAACATAAAAGTTACAAATATTAGCGACAATTTTTAATAGGCCGATTCTAGTCGGAATAAGATACGAATGCGATACGCATGCGCAATGGAGAGAAACTACGACTTGCCTTAGCGGCGATGTTTTCGATGGTACTGCGCATGCGTGTGTTTACAACCGCAGAACCCTAATACCAGCCCTAATCCTATCCTTAACCCTATCCCTAATCTTATCCCTAACCCTAACCCTAACCCTAGCCCTAGCCCTAATCCTATCCCTAACCCTATCCCTAATCCTACCCCTAACCCTCATTCTAGCCCTAACCCTAGCCATAGGTCACTGCGCATGCGCAGAACTATCTTTTGCCGAAAAATCTTATTCCGAGTAGACACTTCGTTTTTAATAACCCTATATAAAATAAACCAGGTAACTATTTGGTCATTATATTTTGGGAAATTGATTGTCTTAGCAGTAAAAAAAAACCTAATATTGATGTTTCACTAATTACACAATGCTATTCTATGGTCCATATCCCAAACTACATCAACTCAGGACTTGGGTGGGTTTACTAAAAATCAGAAAATGATGTTTGTGTGGTTGGCTCCATAACATTTAGTGAATGAATGGAAAATAATAATGCTGCAAAATGTCATTCTCATTAGCACTAATGACTAAAATCAAAATGAGTCAAAAGTCAAAAGAAAAACAGCAGCTTAGCAGGGGAAGTCTTCAAAAATCTAATCAAGTTCTCTGTCTCTAAGTCTCTAACTCATTAACTCTCAACTAACCCTTATAGCGCTGCCACAAAGCCTCTATTTTTCTTTTATCAACAGAAGACCTTGGTTCAGCAGTGTTATAACGGTCTGGTGCCATGAAGTAATTATCAACAGCAACATCTAGTTTCCAATCATGAGCGCATAAGCAGTTGATTGCTGTCTTTTCTCCTGTTTGTGTGAAAGCAACAAATTGCCGAACTTTGTCTTTCTGAGAGCTCTTTAATCGTTGCTGTAGTTTTAAAATTAAAAAAAGATAAGTATTTAGTACAACACTTAAAGAAAATTAAAAGACAAATTTGTATATGACTTGGTATTTATTACTGTTTTAAGTAAGATAATAGGACAGAAAACAAATTAAAGAAATAATTTGTTTCTCACCATTTTCGGATGTTTGCAAAGCTAAATTTTTACTTCCTGTTACGATGAGCATGCGCAAATAATACAAAAGCATAAAAAACATGGCTCATTCTTTCTAAAATAATTCAGAACAGAACAAATCATTATGCGCAATTAGGCACCTGACTTACCTGACAAACAGTATTTTCAAGGTTTTAGAGACGTTTTCTTTGTTGTCTATTAAATAAGCACAAAAGAAAATAACGTTAGAACGAAGTTCTTTGTACACATAATATGGGATAGTAAAAAAAAAAAGAACTCTCCAAAGATGAAATCAAAATATGCACATTTATTTCAAATTAGGACCTAAGAAAAAAAATAGCATTTTCACGAGAACATTTAAAATAGGCAAGTTAATGGGGATTAAACGGGGGGGGGGGGGGGGGGGGGGGTAGGAAGAGCGGTACCTTCAATCGAGACCAGTGGCGCCTTTTTCGAAGTAAAATTTAAATCAAGCACCAACTGCCTTTTTAAACCCTTTGTGTTCTTTACCTAATGTCAAATGACACAACGTATTTTTCTTCGCCTTTTCAGCGCTTAGTGGACAAGAGCAATTTGTCATTTTAGCCTTTGTCCACTTAAATATATACTTTTTAAATAAGTTTTAATTTCTGGCATAATGTTAGTTAGTCTGTGCCTGTGGCCAATCTTGTGGCTTATTCCAATCTTTACCCACTTTTAATGGAGCGATTTCTTTCTACCATCCCAAATTTATTTGTATCTGATGACAACGCAAGAATGTCTAATTGTGTATCTTATTATATATTAACTTTAAATTAGTAAATAAAATTATTTGAATATTGCTAGATTCAATAACGAAAAGTTAATTGCTAGGGAGACTAGATCAGTAGGGGGAGATATTATTCACAGATGTTTTCAAGGGGTCATCCATAAATGACGTCATGCTTTTTTTGACGATTTTTACCTCCCCCTCCCCTCCGTCACACGTCACAAAAAGCCAGACCCCCCTAAAATGACGTCACACCTCAGCCTACAACCCCCCTCAAAATTGCAGTTGAATTTTTTTTAAACATCGATATTTTTCTAAAATCTTGTCTGAACTCTGTCGAAATAGAGTATTTTAATCAATTCCTATTACAATTTATTAAAATAGTTTTCTTAAACGCGAAATAACGTCTAAAATTCGTTTTCTAACATTGCTTTTTTATAATGCAAAAGTGTGACGTCGCACCATCTTAACCCCCCCCCCCCCCCCCCCCCCTCATCACACACCGTCACAAAATTACAGAAGCTGTTATTTTTTAGTTAATGTAAAGTTATCCTTTCGAAACTGGCGGGCCATTTTGCCGATAGCGTTCACCTAATTTTGACCTCTTTTTAAATCACTCAATTGTATATGATTTCCTTTATACTTAATAAAGAACACATTCTTATATATATATATATATATATATATATATATATATATATATATATATATATATATATATATATATATATATATAGGGGCGTAGCGATGGGGGGGGGCGGGGGGTACGGACCGCACCGGGTGACACCATTTAGGGGGGTGACACCAAGGCAAAAAATAGCAAAATATATAGAGAAAAACTTGAGGGGGGGGGGGGGTGCAAATCGAAAGTTTGAGGGGGGGTGCAAATCGAAAACTTGAAAGTTTGTCCCCGGGAAGGGTCGCTACGCCTCTGGGGGGTGACACCATTAAGTGCCGCACCGGGTGACACCCGACCTCGCTACGCCACTGTATATATATATATATATATATATATATATATATATATATATATATATATATATATATATATATATATATATATATATATATATACGGAGTGGGAAGAATGGACAGTTCGACCTGGCTAAGCCTACACATTCATCTACTGTAAATAAAATACTGATCTACAAATAGAACTAGGCCCAGTATAAAACAATAAAAATAACATCGCCTCTCCTCTATGTCCAAAAATAAAATGTTGTAGCGATATTTTACTGCCACTTGATGCAGTGATAAGTGGGCGTGAGAAGCATCACGTGACTAAGATGAGTCCAGGGATAGTTAGGTCGGGAAGGTCAGACATTGTGCCACACCATCCCCACATCAGCACACTTGAACACAGCAACCCCTGACTGATAGGCTGGGTAACGACAGGGAAACAAAAACAATATTTCATACTTATTCAAATTTATGGGATGATTATATATTTTTCCTTCTTACAATTAAAGAAATTATTATTTAATCACGCATATTCCCCTGTTTGTATATAAAATGTTGAACAAAGTTTATCCTAGCAGTGTAGAAAGTTTCATATAAGCCCCCACGTTAATACCCCCCCCCCTCCACCTAGTATGTCTGTCTGTACGTCCGCCTGTCGTCTTGCTATCCGTTAATCTGTGTTATACGTATTTTATTCTAGCTCCTGTGTTTTCGTCAACTATACCACATTTTGCTGTAGTTTCCAAAATATAACCACAACTATCATCAGCTTAGATAGGCCATGGGTTTCCAAACTTTTCAGCCCGAGGGCATTAACTATCAAATATCAGTTCGGGGGCCAGAGTTTCTTCAAGACATCTCTTCGGGGTGGCAACGCCTACCCCCCCCCCCCCCTCGAAAAACGTGTACCGTTCCCCCCTTAACGAAATATAATTGATATAGAAATATATACAAATTTCAAGTGTTCTTTCCCCCCCCCCCCTCCCCTGAGGAAAAAGCCTGAAAGAAACACTGCCGGTGGCCAACAACACACTCGAGGTCCAAGTTTGCTCTCAAATTGTTGTTCGCGTATTTCAATCTTGAAAATATTTGTTCACACAGGTATCGTGTTCCAAAATTTGAAAGGTACTTTGATGCAAAAGTTTTATTATTAGGAAAATCTTCCTTTTACAAAAACTTATACAAACCCACCCGCCCTTCTTTGAACGTGTCTCTAATGACCTCCAGCTGCAGTTCATCTTTGTAACTGGCCACATTTGCTTCAAATGGGTTCTGAAACAGTCTCACTTTTTTCTGCCTTTGAATCCAAGTCAGAAAACCGCTACTGAAACCGCAGCTTGAAGTCTTTGATGATCTCGTATGCAAATGACGTGGGGAACTCCGTGGTTGCTTCAGCCGTAAAGACCTTGCACTATTGAGAGTGCGTAAGTTGTTGGCTTGAACTTTCCAAAAACAAGACAAGTTTGGATCTGAAAGCCTTTATGTGGGTGTATAGATCAGAAAATAAATTTTTATCTCTTGTAGTTTTAGGTTCAGAAAATTTTTTAATGACTTGTTATGTTTGCAGCAGAGGCCAATTTCTATACCCACTCTTCATCAGACAGTAAGTACATCAGCTTGTGGCTTGCCTTTACTTTCAAGTAAGTAAGTAAAGTAAAGATTCCCTTTCAAACCTGATGGTCTAAGTTAAGTAGAGTTCACTTGTTTCTGTGACCTCGGCATATGAAGAGATAGTGTGGTCAGCACTATGCCCAGCCGCCTTTACTTTCCCTAACGTGAGTTAGGTACCCATCAGAGTTGGGTGGAATCAGGGACGGTCTAATGACTTGAACCCGGATTCGAACTCGAGACTTACGGGTTAGCAGTCCAGCTCCCTACCACTAGACCACTCCATCCCCTAAAAAAGTTCCCTTTTCAGACCTGACGGTCTATAGGGCAAGTAAAGTAGAGTTCACTTGTTTCTGTGACATCGGCATATGAAGAGATAGTGTGGTCAGCACTATGCCCAGCCGCCTTTACTTTCCCTAATGTGAGTTAGGTACCCATCAGAGTTGGGTGGACTCAAGGACGGTCTACTGACTTGAACCCGGATTTACTTTCGAGGAAGTCCCCTATTTCCTTTCTTAACTCAAATACTCTGCTTAGAACAATTTCTCGCAAATTAGCCATCTTACTGCTGTGAAATATGAAAAATCTTGCGATTCTGTGTTTCTATCTTTTAACATGTCTTTGAACTATCTATATTCTCTCCGGTAACAGTGCCATACATTCTATGTAGGGAAGCCAGCTCTTGTGTTATGTTTATGTCTTTATCCACACCTCTAATGAACATAAGCAGTTGAGATGTGGAACAGCTGTCCAGCAACTGAACCATTACAATTAAAAAATTGCGCAACTTGCTTGCATTTTTCGCTATTTGAGTCACGATGTTTTCACCGATGTCTGCAACACGGCAGGCAATGGTATTTACACCCTAAGCTACATGTTCAAATTGTTTTGAATTTTCTGGGCATAGTTTCTCAGCCACCTCTAACAAACATTTTTTTTCCGTGGACAAAAAGAGAGAACCTCGCGGGCCGCATATGGCCCGCGGGCCGTAGTTTGGAGACCCCTGGCTTAGACCAATAGCTGACAATTAACCGAGCACTGATGTAGTTATATTTAATTAACGATTAATCTAATGAGTAATCTAGTTACACAAGTTGTGCTTTTATGCTCCTGATATACGGGACATAGAATGCCATTAATCCCTTCCTTCTCCCCCCAGTAGCGTAGCGACGGGGGTAGGGGACATTTGTCCCCGGGCGCCGACCTAAGGGGTCGCCAAAATGGGTTGGAAAAATAAATTGAAAGGTTGAGGGGGGTGGAAATCGAAAGTTTGAGGGGGGGGGGGGGGGGTGGGGTGCAAATCGAAATCTTGAGGGGGGGGGGTGGTGCAAATCGAAAAGTTTGTCCCCGGGCGACGGGAAGGGTCGCTACGCCTCTGCCTCCCGCCCCCCCCCCCCCTTTTTTTTTCCCCAAAGAAGGGACATAGGGAAATGCAGGTAAAGAAATTTTATTTAAAAATAATTTTATCATCTATAAAATATGCTGAATTATAAAGAGACACAACATTTAGAAAAGTAAAAACACACAGGGATAAATAAAAAATCCCAAAGTAATGGAATAACTGATAAAGCAACTTGAAAACTTTATTCCGGTTTAAGCAAAAAGCAGGACGTTTAATAAGGCACGAAATAGAGCTATGTTCCTGGGTCGGAAGTATTAAGTATTAGGACCAGAAGAAGGATGATAACCAACAACCTGTTATATGTCCAGTTTTTGGGATTTTTTTAGTAGACGGCCAATACATCTAGGGAAAAATAGTAGCCGTGTATCCCATTAATTAAATTAATTTTATTATTCCTAATTAAATGATTCTAAATGTAGTTCTTTTTTCACACAAGGGAGGTAACTGCTAGTCGAGTGCCACACTTCAACAAATATTAGTAAATATTTTGTTACTTCCCTTATCTAGAAAAAAATACGATGTGAACGTATATCGAAAGTGTGCTAGTTTTAAAAGACCGACATCCTAAAATGTAAAATGAGGGGTAAAAGTAAAATAATTTCTTACGTCGGCTATTTAATTGTGTGTTTCAGCTAAGAGTTCGTCCTTTATAACTCTAATATCTCTACAGTAATGGTAAAATAGGTTTCACAGAAATTGTATTCATGTTCAATGAATACGATTAAAAAAAAACAAAAAACTCTTCTAATAGGGAAAACAACTAAATACTTGATGTCGCCTAAGTAAAAAAAAATAAAGATTCTGGATTTAAAATATATTTGTTTATTTTCTTTTAAAAAGTCGTTATCCAAACTAATATAAAAAAAGTTTTTAAATACGCAAAAACAAAAAGAATAAATAAATAAAAAGAAACAATATTTGCTTTTTTTCTCTGAGTCATTGATAGCCTTTTTCAAACATCTTGTAGCAGTATTTTAAATTGAGTATTAAACACCGGTAAATATTGGGTTTGATAAAAAAAATCAACCCTCAAAGAAGCTCGACTCGCGTCGGTTTTCCCGCAGGTGACTCGATAGAAATAAAACGAACCAATCAGGATCGAGATTTCAACTCGCGCTGGCCTATCTGTCGGCTGCTATTCACGTCTCAGAGTGATGCGAGATTTTCAAGCGGCGCTATCTTTTTATGTGTGTATGTGTGTGTGTAGCATACAGTCAGTTGTGGATCGCGGGGCAGTGCGTGTGTTAGCACACTAGTAGCGAGGGATTACTTACTGAAAAACCATCGGGACCTACGCAATTTTTTTTTTTACTCGTGGTGTCTAAACGTGCCAAATTTTCTTTGAAATATTTCCATCATGTCTGGATACAGCTGTCGAGGGTTTATTGTGGTGTGTGCTTGTTTGTTTTTATTCCCACATTTTTCGCTGGCCGTGAACTCGTGCTCCTCTGTGGCTCAGGTGTACAATTCGAAAGGAGTTGGTCCAGCTAATGACGTACCTGTGTCCCCTATCTCAGGTAATTTATTGCTTAAGTTAATACACGTAAGACGTAGTCAATTCACAGAAAATTTAAAATTAAATTATGTTAAAATTTAAATCTGTAGGCATAGCCGGCATAGGCCTATGCTGCCTATGCTTAATTATAATTTTGTAATAAAACAGATACAATTTAATTACACCTAAGCTCAGGCCTGTTACTGTTGATTATTTATTAATTATAGGCCTAGTACTAGGCCTGCTTATATTATATTTATATTATAGTCTACAGCTACACGATCACTATCTCTTGGCCGTGTCTAGATTATTAATGACATTTGTTCATCGCTGTTAGACCTAGATTTCTAGTCTATATCTACATACTTACTCAATATAAAATTATAAAAAGGGGATACTACTTTACTAGTTCAGTTTTGTCTTTAGACCCGACATCATCATTTATTAAACAGTCGGACGACTAATGGACTATCTTACCTATAGAGACCCTACGTTTTACACTTTTTAGCCTATACTATAGTATTAGTTACATTACTATTAATCAGGTAGACCCTACATTTCACCAATCACCATAGACCAGTTCGCTACGTAATCAGTTATCAATATTATCATATTATCTACCTAGCTGTAATATAATAACTTAAGCCCTAAATACAGTGGACGACTGCTGTTAATATAGCCTTCTACTACTGTTGGCACTTTTTAGTATAACATTTTATTATGGTATTATTATAACCTAGGGCCTACCTATTCAAGAAAGGGGAAAACCTGTCTGTAGTCTAGCCTATATTAAGTAGGACAATAATTCTATAATTATTAATCTCTAGACATCTATTATTACTCTTATACACAATGAGCTGGCTTACAAACCAAGATTTTAAAAGCTGCAATCTATCAGTCACTAACCTGAATTTTATTACATTGTTCCTAAGTGTGTACATACAAACACGAGAACCCCCAGACAGACTTCTCTAATAAAATACTCTCCTACTAGCCCTAGGCAGAGGTCTTGGCTGTGTATTACTATTACAAAGGGAACACGGGGACATTTCTGGTCGTTCAGCCAGTGTTACTTATTACTTGAAGCTATAAATAGAGCCTATAAAGCTGTAAGCCCCCGTCTATTTAAACACCTTACGTAAATGTTAAACACACAAGGAGTGTGAACGTGGTGGTCTATGGCTCCCATATGTGAAGGTGGTCTGTGCTTCACCTGTATTTTACCGATCTGTGTGGGCATACCTATGTGACCAGATCTAATATCAGAGGACTATAACTATGTATAGATTATACCTATGTGACCAAATCTAATATCACAGGAGAAGAACTATGTGTACATTATTTAAAAATGCATAGGCCTACTTTTTATTTGCATCACGAGTATATCAGTATAAAAAAACGATCCATATTTAACCGAAATCTGTCTATATACTGTACATTGACCCGAGACCCTCCAAGAGCCTTAGATCTAACCTTAAGACCCATGGTTATCAAAGGTACATCAGAGTATACAAGTTGTGTGGTTAAACTATATACGAAAGGAAGAACGTAGCTACTATCCGCGCAGGCACTTAAAGTTGGTCTATACATTATTGGATCTCCATTAGAGTGCTTTTATCTTTCCTAGTTTTTATCTTTGATTCTCGTTTAGCTGTGTTAAATTTTAGTTCATGTGTATGTAGTGTGTAAGATGTCACTTCAGTGTGAGGTTATTAAAAAGCAGTCAACACACATTAGAAGTCCCGTTATTATTGAACATTCATCTCGGAATAGTCGGAAATCCTTTATATTTTGATTGTCTTTATTTACGCCATCTTTTTATTGCGCTCGGACAAAGATTAAGACATGCTCGTGTAAATTACTTCCTTATGCTGGGAACTCGTGATGTTCGTCTCAGTAGAGAGTTTCTTATGTTGAAATATGCGGGCCAGTAGAGAGTTTCTTATGTTGAAATATGCGGGCCCAGTAGAGAGTTTCTTATGTTGAAATATGCGGGCCAGTAGAGAGTTTCTTATGTTGAAATATGCGGGCCCAGTAGAGAGATTCTTATGTTGAAATATGTGGGCCCACGGCCATACACACCAGCTAACGTGTAGATGGCCCAACACGCGTGCCACTGAACTTTGGTATTACTAGTATCTGGCCTTGTGGGTATCACCAGCGAGTTTTTTTTTTAGCCAAGTTTAATGTAGGTCTCCTTTGGTCTCGCTGTCTCCTGATCAGTATCTGATGGCTTAAGGTCAACGGCTCTCATAGGTCAGGGGCTGTGGGGTGCACCACACACACACACACACACACACACGGCTCTCATAGGTTAGAGGCTGTGTGGTGCACCCCTCACACACACACACACACACGGCTCTCATAGGTTAGAGGCTGTGGGGTGCACCCCTCACACACACACACACACACACGGCTCTCATAGGTTAGAGGCTGTGGGGTGCACCCCTCACACACACACACACACACGGCTCTCATAGGTTAGAGGCTGTGGGGTGCACCCCTCACACATACACACACACACACACACGGCTCTCATAGGTTAGAGGCTGTGTGGTGCACCCCTCACACACACACACACACGGCTCTCATAGGTCAGAGGCTGTGGGGTGCAACACACACACACACACATACACACACACACGGATGAGTGTGTTTCCAGGTCGGCATTTCTTATCAAGCGCTCCTGTGTAGGTCATTGCACAACGTGCTAGAAGATTTATTTAGTTTGAATACCTGAACAGGTGTTGGTGAACTGTAGGTGCAGCGTGGAAGGTGAAGGGAGGAGGAGGGGGATGTCTGAGGGCTGATTTTTCTGGCTGGATGGTGTGTGAATGGTGTTCACCACATGTCTGGGATGTTGGCCTCGTTCTGGGCTCTATCTTGACACGTGACTATGTGTGTGTGTGTACATCTCTTCGTCTTACACACTTGGTTTTTTACAAGCTTTTATTTATTTTATTTCATTTACTGACTAAATTCTTGTAATATTTCCGAGGTTTCTTCGTCTTATAAAACTCGTAGATCTATATAAAATTCTAGGTTTATAATGTCGATTCTGTATTTGAATAAAGGTAGCCATTGTTTATTAACTATTCTTACACGGACAGGCATCCATTTTTAGCTCATTGTTGTGATTCCTCCATCCTATTCGGGTATTCCCTATCGTTGCGTCATAAGTACTCGGTTTAGTCATCACGAGTGGGCTGCCCCTACTTAAAGGAACAAAGCCGAGCCTTCCCCGCGTAATCAAGTGAACTGGAGTGCCCCAAAATTTGTGACCACTTGAGGAATGGTCATGTGGGCGAGTTGGGATTGTATCGGGTCGCTTGGTGAAGGATTAGCGGACACTGGTTAGTTGTTGACCAACCCCGTATCCTAGATACGTTTTTTAAAAAAAAAAACAGCTTAAGTTATTAATGGAAACCTGTTGTTATTCTAATTTATAAAAGTCACTGTCATTTGCTGTAGTTAGTTATTGCTGCCAACGACACCAACGGACAGTTCCATGGAGTTAAAGATCATTACAGCTAGCCTTAGTTTCAGCTGTTCAGGATTTTCAAACCTGTTAATTAAAAAAAACCAACTCTCTACTTGATTAATTTCCCTCTCGAAGTCTCGCTGTCATCTGTCCGTTCTCGTGTGAGGAATTAATTACATACTTTAAACTTCAGGAGAACAAGAATGTGGGACGGGTGACGCCATTGTCGTAATTTATTGTCGGCTTACATAAACGCTAATACATCTGTAATCATACTTTCTGTTACATCTGTAATCGCGCTCTCTCTTACTTCTGTAATCATACTTTCTCTTTAATGGATACATTTTTCTATCACAAACATAACCACCGCGAGCAATGGTTAACACATGCCGCAACGTGTATTTATACTAATGAACTAATTAGCAATAATTATGCGACAACACATCGAATACATTTGTTTTGATAACACAGACTCGAGTAACCTGGTAGTTGTGTCCCCTGTCTCTAGAGTTGCTGTTCCTTGCTTTACGTTATCTACATACGTGAACGCTGATCATTTGTTGTTGCTGGTAGTAGAGGGTTCGGATCCTGGCTATTCACACATTAGTTGGGTTTTAAAGTATAACGTACTTTGAAAATGTTTCTTTCAGAATCTTTCAGAATCGATAATTTTTAAAATATTGTAAATCTTCAATAATTGGCACACTTCTATTATATGTGTTATTTACAACTATCTGTTGGTCTGTTAGAATATATATATATATATATATATATATATATATATATATATATATATATATATATATATATATATATATATATATATATATATATATATATATATATATATATATATATATATATAGTACGGATTTTCCGAGCACCAACATTCTATAAATAGCAACAGCAACAAAACATCCTCTTGACAACAGCCCGGCGTATGTACACATACACATACGTTGCCGTCGAGCGTACACAGCAGGGTTATGATGAATACAAACAAAATCCCCTTTATAAACCCAGCTTTTATTGTAGGTATTTTAATGTCTTTCTTACCCCTCCCCACCTCTGTGTGTATTCAGGTGTGTATAAATGCCTTACGGCGTGCATACCTCAGCGTTGAATGGGTTTAAAAAAAAATATACAGCTATCGTAGCGATCTAACCTAACCTAGACAGAAAGTCTTAGCATGCAGCCATTGAAGGGGTGCTATTTTTTGGGCTTACGTATTATAGCCACGTCCTTGTATGTGCAATAATAGACTTAGGTTTAGAAACAACTTTTATAGAAATCAATATTTGTGTTATTTCAACTTGCACAGTTTCATGACGGAGAGGGGAACTCGTGACTTTGGATTATCAAACACGAGCAATAGCGAGAGAATGTGGGAGGGTGGGGGTGGTGCTGGTGTATCAGTGGATAATTAACAAGTTAATTAGGATGTGTTTATTTATTAATAGCTGGAGTCGGAATCTTCTCACACACACGACGTACACATTGATTGTCTGGGTCTTGTGGTGAGGGGTGGGGTTGGGCTGGGG